CCTCCCTCATAGGAACGGTCATGCTAAGTGGACCATTTAATCTGGTACTGCTGCCAATGAAACTGGTTTTGGCAACTGGTTTAAAGTTAAATCGAAAGGTGTTTTGTTTTTTAATTTCATGGAGTCACTGAGCAATATCATATTTGAATGCCCCAGTGATAATCAGTGAACTAGAACCTTCAGGGTCATGATACTACTTTGCCAAGTCAGTTTGCTACAGGAAACCAAGAAGACAAGTGAGTCAGTGACAGGTGGAACTTGGGCTACCAACCCAAATGAAAAATGCCTGTGTCTAACTTCATGCTTCACTCCCCCAGAGCCTAAGACTTTACATATAGTACTTATATTTCAAATGCAGTTTATAGTGAAGTTGACAAATGGAAATAGGTTTGGCTGACTGCTCACAGACTGTTATTGGTAGAAATAGAAATTCCAAAGAAGTAAATTTTAAATTAGTTGGTTTGTGGGTTTGAAATTAAAGTTAAAGATTTTAGTTTATTATTTTTTTTAATAAAGAGTTATCGATCCTTTGGACATTACTTTTATCAGAAGCCATTTAATTTCTTGTTTCATTACATATTTTATTTTGAGATGATATAGCTATAATAATAAAGAATATTTTAAAAAAATTTGAAATCCTTTCATCCTTGTACCAAAACCAAACCAAACCACTGCTGTTGAGTCAATTCCAACTCTTAGTGACCCTACGGGACAGAGTAAAATTGCCCTGTCGGGTTTCCAAGGCTGTAAATCTTTACAGAAGCAAACTACCTCATCTTTCTCCCACAGAGTGGCTGGTGGGTTTGAACTGCCGATCTTTCAGTTATTAGCCATATGCATTACCATTACAACACCACAGCTCCTTTCATCCTTGCACAGTAACTTTTATTTGCATTTATTGTTTTTAAATTTTCACTCATTCAGTTAATGAGTGCCTATATGCCAGATATGGTATACTCATGTTCATGTGCTTATACATGGAGTTTTGAACATACATACCTGGCAGCATTTATTTTATTCTGTGTTTTATAATCTAAGTAAGTATCCCATGTCTCTTTGAAGCGAATAAGATCTATTTTATAAATTGGAAACCCAGAGACCCAGAAATCACACCTTGAAGGTATACCAATAGTGTAGGTAGCTTTAGAATTTAGTTTTACTCTCAGTTTACATGTTCAAGTTTGTTTCTACAACTAAGACAGAATGCCAAGGGTCTTGGTTCTGAAACACTTACTTGACTTTTAAATGATTTTAAATTCAATTTTATTTATTAGTTAAAAGTAGTAGTAACTTATAAGGAGCCCCCATGCCACAAATGCTTAAGTGCTTGGCTGCTAACCAAAAGGTTGGTGGTTCAAACTCACCAGCAGTTCTAAAGAAGAAAGACCTGGCAGTCTGTTTCAGTAAGATTACAGCCGAGAAAACCCCAGGGGCAGTTCTACTCTGCCACATGAGGCCACTATGACTTGGAATCAACTTGACCGCACCTACCAACAACAACAGTCTGTGAAAGAGAAGCTGGCTAGTCAGTAATTTACAAGACTGTTTCTTTTCTAAGAAACATTTTCCTTTCAGGAATTTCATAATTTATGCGTGTGCTCTTTAATTTCAAAAAAATGTTATTACTGAAAGATGTTTTGTTTTTTAATTTCATGGAGTCACTGAGCAATATCATATTTTTTTAGGGAAGGATCTCTCATCTCGGAGCAAAATGGATCTTGATTGCATTTTTGGGAAAAGACAGAGTAAGAAGACTCCTGAGGTATTATGCCACAAATCGTTGATACATTTTGTTTTCACACAGTTTTTCAAGTGTATGTAGGACTGCTTATATCTATTAAGAATAGTACTTTTCATCCAGACAACCCAAAAAATGCTTTAGAGGTTTCAAACAAAGGCCAAATATGATCCTTATGATAATAATAGTTGGTAGGTAGTATGTTTGATAAGGAATCTAAAAAAGAATATATATTATCTGTTAGTTTTTGTTTTCTGATGTGAGAACTGAATTGAACTCAAAGAAGAATACCTATTGCTGATATATTCAAAGGTGGAAGATATCTATCCCATCACCGTAAGTGAGGGAGGTTGCATGCAGCAATTTTTTTTTTTTTTTTCTCAGATTGCATGGATAATTTAGAACATGGATTGAGAAGCAAGAATATCAGATGATGCTCCAGTACTAGTGTATTCCGTTTCAAAAGCATTTTGAGACTATTGCATCAGTATTGCGAATCCAGAATACTACATTTCTATGTAGTATTCCGGATTCTCAACACATTTAGATGTAGTATTTCCTCTATTTTACAAAATAAAATTTTTCAAAACTAGAAGGTATAAGAATAGAGTGATGAAACGGCATCTTACATGTAATAAATCTGTAATTCATAATTACATTTATTGATAATTCTCAAACATATCATTGGACTGTGTAATGTGACAAAGAATTTTTGTGCCATTTCTGAGTATAAAAGGTAGTTCTGATTTTACAATGTGGATTTTTGGAGATAATGTTGTTGTTTGTTATGTGCTGTCGAGTCAGCCCGACCCCTCCTTGGGTTTCCAGGCAGTATCACTACGGAAGTAGATTGCCCAACCTTCCTTCCGAGGAGTGGCTGGTGGGTTTGAACCGCCAGCCTTCTGGTTAGCAGTCAAGTGCCTTAGGTACTATGCTACCAGAGTTCCTTGGAGATAATGGGATAAAATATTTAAAATTAGTATTATCTAAGAAAATAAAGACAATTTGGTTGCTATGATGACTGATCAAGGCATCATAGCAACCAAATTGTCTTTATTTTCTTAGATAATGTCTGTGGTTCGAACCTACCAGCTTCTCCATGGAAGAAAGATGAGGCTGTTTCCATAAAGATTTACAGCCTTGGAAACCCAATGGAGGAGGGGGTCACTCTGAGTCAGAATCAACTTGATGGCAATGAGTTTTGTTTAGTTTTTTATAATGATTAATCAATTAATCTGACCTATCATATTTAAATTCCTTTACTGATTCCTAACCAAAGTCTTTAGTGAATAGAACAGAAAAAAAGACCTGTTTCTTTTATTTCTGACATTTCTCTAGACTGAGAAATATTTTTTTCAGGGGATACATATTTGTTGGTTAATATTAAACATTTTTAAAGACTTCAGAATTACCAGTTATTAGACATTTTGGTTGGAGATTTCCTGTACAGATTGAGAGTAAATCCTTAGGTCTTGGACCACTTTTCTGCCCCTATAACCTTTAGCATAGTGAGGATAGAGTAAGTGCTGCGTAAATACATGCTTACTGAGGAAGGAGGCACTGTAAAGGAAAATTGGGTTCCAGTGGCTCCCTTGCAGGTGATGCCCTATAAGACTTATGCTGAATCTTTTAAAGACAGTCCCATCATTAGGTAGGAAGTATTCTGACATCAAGCCACACTGAATGTTTCATTCACAAGAGGGTGTTGGAAAGAGCCCTGGCCATCGGGAAACCCAGCTACTGGCCATACTGCTACCACTCAGTGGTTAGTGTGATGTTGATTAGGCCACTTTCCCTTGTTCACCAAGAACTTGGCACTTGGCTTATCTCAGTCTTCCTCTCTAAATTCTCTCCTTTGATTATCCTGAGTAATTTCATCATCAAGAAGAGCCCAATGTCACAATCCATTACCCTCTTGAAATGGATTATTGTATCACCTCTACTCTGCTCTAACAACCCATTCCTAGAGCCACACCTCAAAACTTGTACCAACCTCACCAGCCCCTCTTATTGGTTCCAGCTCTCTCAGTCTTTTATTTCCACTGCACTGGCCTTTCCAAATCTTTGCATTCTCTGATAATTTTCTCCCCGCTACCAACCCCTTTTACCTCCAGCCCCATCTTCTCCAGCACCCTCTTTGAAATTTTACAGTTGAACAGATTAGGGAAGGAAATATTATTAATAGGTTTTTGGTAGAACTTTAAAAGAATTTATGTGGATAGTGCAGGGAAGCCTTTAGTTATAGGAGATTGTTGTTGTTGTTGTTTTTGTTGTTTTGTGCTGTCGAGTCGGACCTGACTCATAGCGACCCCTCATTGAGTTTCTGAGGCAGTATCACTATGGACATAGATTGCCCCATCTTCCTTCTGAGGAGTGGCTGGTGGGTTTGAACCACCAGCCTTCTGGTTAGCAGTCAAGTGCCTTAGGCAGAGGTTTCTAACATCTGGCAGGCATCTAATTGAGAATTTATTAGTGTTAGGTGCCTTGAGGTTTTTCAATGCTGTTTTGTGTTACTTGACTTTTTGGTGGTGTAGGAACTCTGGTAGTGTAGTGGTTAAGGCATTTGGCTGCTACCCAAAAGGTCAGTGGTTTGAACCCACCAGCCACTTTGCTGAGGAAAGATGAGGCGGCCTGCTTCAGTAGATTTACACCCTTGGAAACCCAGTGGGAGTCACTGTGAGTCGGAATTGACTCGATGGCAGGAAGTTTGGTTTTTTTGGCATGAGTCATTCATAATCATGTTAAAGTGAGCAATTCATCTGTATTTGAGGAGCTTCAGAAACAGTTTCATAGAGCTAGCCCAGGGAACATCTATTTTGGTATAAGTGGTGTAGAGATCAACCTTGATAATAATACTGCATCTCATGCAAGATTTATATCCAGCCACATCTTAACCTCTCTTTCTAGTTTAATATTTTCAGCTGATGATACATTTAAAATCTTTTTTTTTTTTT